GGGAACTATTGGCCTGGCAAAGCTGCTGATGTTTGATCTGGGCAAGAATGATACTGAGTGCAAGTCCCTCCTTTACATCAACATAGAGATCAGCCAACCTTGTGCTGCTCCTTCAATGATTCCAGGCAGATCCAACAGCTGAATATTGGCTCCTTTATACTGAAAAGGAAATGGATACAAAGTTGAAAGCTTTGGGCAGGGTACCTCAGCTGCCCTGAAAGCCCCAGCACATGCTGAGCTCCAAAGCCTGCAGAGAGTGGAACTGAATGAACGCAATATTGGAAGACAACTTTCCACAAAGCTGGTGGCTTTGTTTTGATGAGGCAACCTCTGGGGTGTTTCCCATTAAGCTGTGTTCAACTGTGGGTCACACTGCAATTCTAGCCTCCTAAAGAGTCACATAAGTGCAGTCTGAAAACAGCACAGTGCAACTGCAACAATATTCCAAACTGATAAATAGAAAAGAAAGGGAAAAAAAATCCAACAGCTCTACTTTGGTCTAACAAGTAAAGCTCTGTAATGAGCAAATGCCATAATCCCTTAGCAAGACGGGTCAGAAGTACTGATGTGTGTTGCAGATCTTACAGTACCAGGAAAAAAAAGGGGGGACCTTTGTTCATTGGATCAGCAGAGTCACCATCTTTCAAGCTGCTGCTGCAGTAAGTCCTCAGTAACAGCTTCAGCTGGTGACTGGAGCCTGAGGCTGCATTTGGATGCATTGTAGTGCTGGTGTTCATTTTAACACCAATACGTCTGCTTCCATTATTTAAATCTGCTTTCAATTCTGACCCAAGTTTTCTCATTACTCTTGGATACTTTTCAGTTTGATGCCCTTTACCATTTGCTTTACTGATAGACACTCAAACCACCGCTAATGAAATTCCTCAAGGACAGGAGCAGTTGTATTTTCTTTCCAAATTGATCACGGTACAGATTGCCTCTTTTAAAGCTTCATTAAAAACAAATCTGTCAAGGTTTCCAGCCATCTGGTCAATGGCGCCAATAGCAGTTATAAAAAATTCAGCTGAGAATTCCTGTATTGCTCTGGTCAGTCGAACTGTGCCATACGAAACCCCGAGCAGGCAGTCAATCTTGAAGAGTTATGCAGCCTGGAGAAGTGCTACATCAGCACTGCAGGTTGCAGACTTGATATTGCAAGCACTCAAGACTTGGTGAAGTTTAAAGCAGAGGTCAGCAGAGATCTCCAGATATTGCTGCTTCTCAGTGGTAACACAGGTGTAACTGCTGTGAGCAGAGCTCTTTACACGGCTGGGTTTCTTACCGCTACCTTCTATGAAAGGGAGGAAAATCCTACTTACTTCTATGACTCCTGGGATACACGTCAGGGTTGTGAACTCATAAGATGCAGCTTCACTGGCAGTTGAGGTCATTAAACTCAAAAACGTGGACTGAAAAAGCAAGAGATGGCCATCACAAGAGGTACTGAAATGAAAGCACTGCGTTCAGCAAAACATGCAATACTAAAAAGTGTTCATCAGTTTTTAAGTCAGGTTGCAGCCATGCAGGACCCAGGGACTGAAGCAGTAATGGGTCTGCCAGCATGAAGATAAAACCTATTCTCTTGCCTATGTTCTCAGCAGTGGCTGCACTAGTTAATTCTTCATTAACTAATGGCAAGAAGGTGAAATACAGAGAGATGCTGTAATGAAAGATACCTGCTTTACAGCCCCTGCCAGTCTCAAATCCAGAAAAACCACACTGCAATGTTAACTCGGACACGCACTGACCTTACCCACAGAAGGAAAACCAATCAGTGCCACTCGGGCATCTCCAGATTTCATCACATCGAAGCCTTCTCCTTTAGCAGCAGAGGATTTGGAAGGTTCTAACAACTGAGCTCTGTATTTTGCAAGCTTTGCCTTCAGCAGGCCAAGATGGTACTCGGTAGCTGAAATAACAGAAATGCAGCAACTGGTTAAAGACCGTGCCTGATAACTCAGCCCTGGAAACAAGAGCCTTCCTAAAATGAAACCTCAGATTTCAGTCCGTAGCTTAACACACCCTACCTACATCCAGGTGTTCTGTACCTTCTGAGATATCGGCCACTCTGAGTAAAGTCTTACAGTAACCTGCACGCAAGTCAAACTTCAAGGAAATAAGATGTTTTCAGGTTGGATATTAGGAACAATTTCTTGTTGGAAAGAGCGGTCAGGCACTGGCACTGCTTTAAGGGAGCGGTGGGGCCACCGTCCCTGGAGGTGCTCCAGACTGTGGAGATGTGGCACTGAGGGCTGTGGGCACAGAGGGACGGGTTGGGAGGAGGCACAGCCTGTAAGGAACAGCCCGCCCCGGGCAGAATGCTTCTGCACAGCCCTCCTGCAGCATCCGCCACTGCAAAAACGCAAGATACTCTGCCAACTTTTAAAACCATGCTCAGCTTAGAGCTCACGTACACGAATACAGCATTTACCAACTTATTCTTGCATTCACACCCGACACAGAGAAGAAGGCAGCTCGCTCAACAGAAGCTTGTAACAGGGGATGGCAGTTTGTATCAGCTCTCCTCGCCAGCATTCAGCGCAGCCTCCAGCCCGCAGAAGCAGCAAAGCGCTGTGGGGCTGCCCTGCCCGGCCCTGCCTTGAATTCAAGCATCCGAATTCCAAGCCGGTGCAACCAGCAGCCCGGCTCCCACCGCCGGGACGCGCCGGGCTGCAGAGGGGGCACGCGGGGACAGGGCGGCCCGTGAAGAGCGCCCAGCGCCCGCCCGGCCCAACCTGTGCGCTTCTACAGCCGCGACCACCGCTTCCCTCCGCTCCTCGCCCCCCCGGCACCTTTGTTCTTCTGGGTGCGGGCGATTTCCTTCTCGATCTCGGAGATCTTCTCCAGGATGCCCATGGCGCGGCCCGCCGCGGCTCCTCACGCCGCCCGCCGGAAGTACCGCCGGTCCGTCCGTGCGCCTAAATGCTCCGGGCTGCGTCCACTTCCGCCGCCTGGCAAGGGGGGGGGGGGACCTGCGCACTCCGCACACCGCTCCGGCCGCCCCGCGCCCTGCGTTCCGCTCGCTTCTGTGGTCCCCCCCGCTGGCATCCCAAAAGAGCTGATGGAGGAAAGGATACGTGGCACAGAGCCCGCAGGATGCGTTAGGGCCAGGGACTGAGCTTCCCCCCACCACAGCGATCCCACGTCCACTATTAAAGGCAATGGGATTCCTGAACTCTTGGATTGGTGGTCGTTAAGCAGCAACCCAAAAAAAGGGTTGCTAATCACCAGAATAGGCTCCTCAGGGATGTGGGTTGAGTCACCATCCCTGGATGTGTTTAAAATCCGTTTGGATGTGGTGCTCAGAGACATGATTTAGCAGAGGGCTGTTAGTTAGGGCAGCATGGTTAGGTTTTTGTTGGACTCAATGATCTTTAAGGTCTTTTCCAACCGGAACAATTCTATGATTCTATGAATTTGTCCTCAAGCAGGGAGATGAAGCACAGTTGTCCCCATGAGCCGAGCAGCGCTGCCGTTAACAAACACACACAGATACAGGCTTCTTAAATAGATTTTGTTTTTAATTTGGACGTTGATAACTCCGCAAAATACTTCTCCCAGTCCCTTTTCCAAAGTACATCCATAAATATACCAATTCTTCAGCCAACACTGTTAAAAAAAAGAACTCACACCTTTTTCAGAAGCCGCGGATCCCCCGTCACTCCCTCTCCCAGCACCTCACCCGTTAGTCGCCTTTCACCACAATGACGTACTGAACAGCTCTTCAGCTCATCAAACAACTCAAAGAAAAAGAAAATCAAAACCAAGGCTTTAGAGAAATCCTGAACACAGGCAGCCCTTCACATCACTGTTCCCTGTCCCTAACACGTCTTACTGAGGCCGGTTGGGATTTCAGCTCAAGTGTTTCGAGTCTGCTGCCATGAGACAGGCAGAGGTACATGGCAAGAACACTTCCTCCCCCTGTCAGCTTTCACAGGAAATCTGCAGGGGAAATTCTAGGGTAGATACATTACCGAATGACCCCAGGAACCTTCCTAATCCAGCTTGTACAGACAACCACAGAACCAATTCAACTGAACAGCATCAGATACCCGAGCGTAACACTGCACTAACAGCACAGGGTGGTTACTGTCATTGCCAGCTCTGCACACAGCTCCTGAAAGCAACCTGTGGGGAAGGGTCTGCACCCGTGCTGCCACCTTCCCTACAGCTCACCCCTCCACTTCTCACAGCTGAGCAGCACCATTGGTTTCAGTCTCAAAACCAGGACATCTCCCAGCACCACGCATGCAGAAATGCCTTTCCACACTTCCCTGCAGCCCAAGTTTCTCCCAGAGCAGAATAAAAGCAGAATCTGTTTCTATGCTTCTCTACTCACACCAGCCCCCCCCCTCCTCCAGCTCCTCAGCCTTTGTGCAACACTACAAATCCACCTGCAACGAACGACCAGGACAACAGCACACACTTGCTCCACTCTCCCGTCTCCATCCGCAGGCAGGGCTGCTGGTTCTGGGGCCCAGGACTCACCCACAGAGAGCAGCCCACAGAAGGGCACTTCCAGCACTGCATCATTTCCCAACAGCCCCACCGCCTCTCCAACGTGCACAACCCCAGCTTGGTGCATACAAAACAGGCTCACTGAGACCCAAACCCACTCCTGTTAAGGTTTATACTAGCAACTCAGCTGCTGCGCAGTACCCCACCTGCTGCCAAAAGGAAGCAGAAAACGAAACCCAAACAACCAACACAAGGGATGCAGAGGGCTTTGCTTTCCTCTCTCAGGCAGCAAATCCATCCTCAGCACCCGCCCTATCAGCACTGAAGCAGGGCTGCTTCAGGGGGGCGTTTTCAAACAGCCTGCAGAACACCAGCCAAACTCGCACAGAAGCCCTGCAGTGGTGACTGACACATTAAATATACAACTGAGGCCAGCTTTTAAAACGTCTTGGAAAATAACCTGCACACGCATACACACACACACACACTTTGGCACACAAGCCTTAAGTTATATCACTTGAAACATTTCAAAGTCAGAGAGATATTGAATTGGGATTTTTTGTTTTCTTTTTTTTTTTTGCCTTGCATAAAGGTATCAAGCAGTGGTGTTGGTGCAGCATGAGGGTTGAGTACAAATGCTGAACAGTTCAAGCTGTTTGCGTGGTGCTGCTCAACGCTTGCACTCCAATTACTGTCCCAAAGCAGAAGCTAGCTGAATACATACACGAATATAAAAACTAACATAGACATTCCTGGTTTTCAATGTGAAAACGGTAAAACGTAACTGAGTAATTGTGCATTTGCCATAGGGTCCTTGGGAAAAGGAACCATAAAAATATTTTCTTTTTTTTTTTTTTAATAAAAGTTTGTTTGTTTGTTTGTTTTTCTTTAAACCCTTAACTTAATTAAAGAGCAAATTATACACCTATAAGCAGAGTTCAGAACCACTTTACTGACAGCCCGGAAGTCCATACATCAAACTAATTCCCAGTGGCAATTCCAGACACTGGAACAGCTCTCGGCTCCAAGGGGCCGGTGTTCCTGAAAGATGTGCAGCTCTGGCTAACCTCATTAGCCAGCAGGAAGCAAAGACTCGTTCAACCCTCATCCATCTCAGCCAACACTCCCTTGACAGACTGCAGCCGAGCAGCTGCCTGCCAAGCAGAGCCTCACACACGCGGCCGTGCCTGGCTCTGGGAGCATCAGAGCTGGCAATCTGGGTAAGAAACCTGAATCCTGGCGATTTCAACCCATATCAGGCTGTAACAAGGAGAATACAAGCACCAAGCTTATGTTTTCTTATTACTCAGAGAATAGACCGATTCCAGCTACTGAGAAACAGCTTCCAGAAGGAGAGCCAGGAGGAGTTTCAGTGACAGAGAAACTAGCTGTGCAATAAGAAAGTGCATTTAAAGGTATCTTAAAACCAGATTAAAGATCAAATCGCCACTCGACAGGAGGGAGAATTAAGCTCCAGCAGCCATGCTCCTTGGGCTGGTGGGTTAACATTCAGGCTCTCTCTCTTGCGAGTCCGAGGGGCAGGAGAGAAGCGTGCCTTCCGTGCTCCGGCAGGGACACAGTCCTCCTGGCAGGCCATGCTCTCCTGCCCCGTTTGCTTCTGTGCGGTATCAGTTCTGGACAGCTGTCATCGGAATTCATAGATAGGAGCGCTGTGCTCAGGAACATGAGTTAAATTCAATGACTGATACCTGGGAGAGAGGAGAAAGATGGATGAGGAGATTACACAGGGCAACGGAACCCCCCGCCTCCAGCTAAGGGCTCCTGTCCAGCAGCTGCAGCCAGGTGGGCTCTCCCTTTCCTTTGGGGCAGCCTCGGAGGCGTTCAAGCAATGGCTTTTCAGTGGTGCCAAACCCCTGGCAGGACTCAGCTTCGTTCCTCATTTCCATTCCCACGTCTTGAAGCTACCTGCAGCCAGGCTGCCATCGAGCAGGGCTGACTGCGGGCTTTGGACACCTTTTGAAGTTTGACAACTTTCATGTTCAAACAGTGTTTGCTTCAACTGAAAATTAGACTCAAATCTTTCAAAGCTTAGCTTAAGGGGATTCATCTGAAAGCCTCCCAGGCACCTTCCTTCCTTCTGAGAGCTTCCAGACACCCTACAGATTCACTCGCTGTGCGTGACAAATATCTTTATTATTTATCCAAAGCTAGGGAAAAGAGCTCTCACAGCTACTTGTCAGATAGCTCTAACAAAAAAAACACACCACCACCACCACCAATTAACTTTGACTGTTCCCTGCATCTTGCAGCAACACCTCAAGCACCTTGGAGTACAAAGCACTGGCCTAACAAGACACCTGCCTGAAGGGAGCAGCAGGAGAGCTGTTACAGGTGAGAAGGCACTGAGGCTCCCTCTCCCAGGTCGCTCTGATATCTTCTGAAGGGCCAAAGCACGGAGAAGCTCAGAGCCTGAAATGCTTAAGGCTTTTACAGGCAATCCCAACAAAGGTTTGCAGGCTGGAGCTGGATAGACGCTAACAGTGAACCACAGTTGGGGTCTGCCTCCCAGCACCTCACAAACACATCACATCATTGCTTCACTGCTCCACAGCATGTTTCCATACAGTGTTTCTCTGCAGCATGCTGCCAGCTCAGTTACCATCAGCCATGCAAAAGGCAGCACTTTAAACCACGCAGATGGGCCAAGCACACAGACCCTCCCTCCGCATCGGGGTCCAGCCACCAGACCAAATCCCCTCCCCACCAAAATAAGTGTGCTGCCTGGCTGCTCCCAGGACTGCAGATGGGCAGAAGAGGAGTCCCTGCTTTGTCTGAGGAGGCACCCTAAAAGGAAGCAAGGTTCCTTACCATTCTGAACTCCTATGGTAGTAATAGCCTTCTATAGACGCTGCTGACTTCTGGAAGCAGATGTAATAGAAACCAGCAAAGGAAGCACCGCTGATGTCTTTGATAGTGTGGTCTGGCACTAGGAACTGTTCCTGCTCACAAAACATAAGCTGCATTTAGAAAGGCTGGTCAAATATCCCCTCCCTCACCCCAACTGGCCCTCCCAAGTTGAGTACCAGCACCTATTAACACAAAGCACTCCTGGGTGAGCATTCCCTGCATTCCTAGCAGCCCAGACCAGGACTTCTGTGGTTTTTTTTATCACCTGGCATTGCAAGCACCTTACAGGGAAGCAAGAACTGAGAGCAAAACCACTTTTAAAGAGCATACACAATCAATTTTAGTCCAACACCTGCCCCTTCCAAACCAGAGGCCAGTCACAAAATCAACAATCAGAGCTGCCTGAGGATCCCCTCCCTTCACAGCTGCACAAAGCAGTCGAGAGAGAGAGGACTCAACCCAGCTGTAGAGCCAAGAGGGGTGGACTGGTCAGCAAACTGCATCAAACCCAGGCCCAGCACAAAGACTGGAGACACTGATTCTCTCAGCATCTGGAGAATCACTAAGCATGATGATGCTCTTGTTGTGTTTTCAGGTATTTCTGCAGCCCTTAAGGATGCAATTAGCTGACTAGACAGGAGTCACACTGGGATTTGCAAATATGGCAGGTTAATGAGGTTGGATAGGGCAAGATCTTTCATTAGGCCAGCACCAGTAGTTGAGAGAGCTTTCAAGTCCCTGTCAGTCACTTGTAAGCAGCTCATCAGAGAAGGCAGCACACAGTTTACCTTCCATCTCATGAAGACATAGTCCCCGTTTTTCAGATCCTCATAATCAAAGTCATCAGAGTTAAATGTTTTTGCATACTGGTAGAAAGCTTGGAATTTCCCCTAGAACAAAAGAAAAACAAGTAAACACAAAAACCAGGACGGTTACTCCAGGAAAAGTGCTTACTAGTGCCAGCTGCTATTCTGGAGGAAAAAAAAGAGGACCTCCTCACTGAAGGGATTGCTCTTCCCTCAGAGCAGCAGTGAGTGCATGCCCCAGGACGAGCACAGGGCAACAAGGACTGCAGCCATCCGCAACCACATCCAGCCTGGTTGCAGAAGGTCCTGCACTTCTTGGGGTGTATACATGTTGACAAAAATATAGCAAAGGTCAAGGCAGCAAAATAATCAGCCAGCTGCTGTGGCCCTGATCCAGGGCACACCCTGGCCTGGTGAGAAGGCGGAGGTTGCTGGTGCCACAAGACACAGGTGCCTGTGCCAGAGGAGCACCTTGCCCCTTCTCCACTTTGTTTTGCACCAAGAGTTCAAAGCAAGGAGCGTGTTCTCATAGGAATGAAAGAGATGGAAATTGCTCCTGCTTCCCTTCCAAGTCCAGGGCCAACAACTGCATAGCAAGACATCCTCTCCATTCCTAGAGGTCTCAGCTCAGTCTGCTGAAGAGACCTCCAGACACCAAGACTCTGGCAGAGGGAGGAGGGCACCCCAAAGGAGAGCTCCTTGCATGGACACTCAGTACCTCACCTATACCAGCTGCTCAGCCAGGACTGCATCAGACCTGCATGTGGCCCCTGATTTATTTACCCAGTGTTTACGATCCACATCTTCATCAGCATCCCACTTGCGTGTTAAGAAAGGGTGCTTTTTACTGATTATTTCCCCTTCAAAGAAAGTAGTTAGGGTTGGGTACTCCTAGGAGAGAAGAGAAGTAAGATCATTTGTCACTTAGTGGCCCGAACTCAGCAAAAGGCAGCATCTCACAGCAAGGGCTCCAGGCTTCTCAAGGATCTTGGAGAAGCACAGTAAGAAGTGTCACACCCATGAAACACCTCTCACTGACTGTTCAGCACACAGCACACCACACTGGATGGATGCAGACAGAAGCACATAAAGATCTGAATTGTTTAGGTTATGTTTTCTTCTAGCACAAAGCTGGCTGCAGGGTCAGGCTGGGTTCTGCTCAGACCCTAAGGGATGCCAGATAAGCTTCCTTCCTTCAGGTCTCCCATCAAGGCCCATCATATTTGCTCCATATGCCAAGAACAGCAGACTTAAGCCATTAACCTATTTAGCAGTCAATTTTGCTGCATGGTCAATCCCTTTGCTTCCTCCTTCTAGTGGCAGCTTCTCCTACCTCACCAGGAAAAAGAAAAGCCTTTGAACAGCATCTTCCCATGCTGTTTTGCAATTAGCACTCACCTCTGTAAGGCCTTTAATCTTCAAGTATCCACAGAGATAGGAGTTTTCCATGTCCACATGCTAGAAAAAAAGTGCAAAGTCCCACTATTAGCACGCACAAGAAGGCACTCAATTGATCCAAAGCTATTTCTAACCCCAAGAGCCCCCAGGGCTCGATTCTGCTTCAGTTGGTAAGGACCACCCAGCTCACAGCCACCTCAAGGCTGGGGGGGCTTGGGAAGAGCATTTAAAGGTGCTCAGCCATTTTCTCATGGCCTGGCTGCTTTCAGCTCTTCCCACTCTCAGCCAGAGGTCTCTGCCTCATATCCAGACCTGGCACACAAAGCCTTCTCAGAAGGCAGGTGACGTCTTATGCATCTTCCCCAGATCTAATGCTTTTGTGTCACTCCTCTTGTAAGTTCCTGAGCTGCATCTCGCCGCTTCTGCTATGCAGAAATGAAGCAGAGGGATGCTTCTGCTCCGAGCGCCTTTCAAGCAGGGGGATTTTCCAAGCCTTCCCCTGCCATCTCCAGATTGGTTTTCAAAGCAAGAAGCGAATTATTTAGAGAAGTGCAAGCATCAGCTGTGGGAAGATGGCTTTTCCCCACCTGCGATCAAAGAAAAGCCACATTTCTCTGTGCTGAGCACAGGGAGAGCAGGCAGCCATCTCTTCTCATCCGACACGCACAGAACAGCGTTTTTTAGCACAAAGATAGAGCCAGCCTCTGTGAGAAAGCAGCATGCAGTGAACTAAACAGCCATAGGATGTCTCCATCAGAGCAAACTGTAGCGGGTACATTTGTGCTGTTGACAGGTGGAAGACTGGATGAGAAAGCAGAGGGCATAACTCACACTGCCCCATCTGCTGACCCTGGGGCTCTGACTTCACTTCCCAGTGCCAAGCCATGCATCACGCTGCATCACTGCTGCACACCCAGCCTGGGTCCCTCGATCTGACACCACCAAAGCAGGAGCAGGGCTGTGATTTGCCACAGGAAAGCATGCATCAGATGTCTGGTTTCCCCACACACTAACGACTCCACACCGCTACCCAAAGCGAGCGTGCCAGTGCCTCTGACTAAAAATGAAGCATGCAGGGTGACGGTGACTCCAGAGAGGATTAGGAAAGCCCCATTCTCCAGAACTGTCTGGTTGCATTCCTAGTACAGCAGAACTGCTGCACTCCTCCCTTGGTTCTCCACATAGCCACCGGCACCACGGGATGAGGAACCCAAACTCCAGCACAGGGACCTGGATCCTCGCTGAATTCCAGCTAGGCCTGAAATACAGGCTGCCCCGCTGCTGGGGACTTCCTGGGCACCTCCCAGCACAGGGCAGGCTCCCACCCTTCCTCCTGGCAGCCCAGAGGCACACGGGCACCCCAAGGCTGAGGGGAATGAGGAAGAGACCTCGTGTTAGGTATCTCAGCAGCCACAAGGAGAAATAGGGGCAAAAGTGTGAGAGGAAATGGGAAGAGATCCCTGGTTAGGGATCCTATCAGTTCTGAGGGGAAAAAGGAAATGAAGCCGAGAGGGGAGAGGAGCACAGAGAAGCACAGAGCCGGGCGGGAGGCTGCCAGAAGGTTCGGACCCCCTCAGAGAGATCTGAGGAATCGGGGAAAGGAGCCGTGAGAAAAACAGGAGACTGAGGGCCCGCGGAGATCCAGGAAAGGGGCTCCCGAACCGGGGGGTGCCGAAGGAGCGGGGAGGACTCGGGGAACGGCGTTCCAAAGGAGCGTGGGGAGCACCGCCCGCCCGGCTCTGCGGCCGTCAGGGGAAGGCCCGAGGCCCAGCGAGGGGAAACGCGGCCCGGCCCGAGGGCGGCCCCTTACCTGCATGACGACCTCCACTTCGTAGGCGTTGCCCTTGCTGCGCTGCTGCCCGCGGAACTTGGCGCCACTGTACAGCAGCGAGGTGGCCACGCCGGGCTGCGCCGTGTTGATGGGAGGCGGCGGCACCAAGCTGCTGGCGGCCGCCCCGGAGGGAGCCGAGGAGGCCGAACCCGCGGCTCCGCCCGCGCGGCACCGCTCGCTGCGCACCGGCATCTCGGGAGGATCCCCGGGAGCCAGCGTGGCCGGGGCTCAGCGGCCGCCGCCGGGGCCGCCGCCCGCGCTCCGCTCCCTTCACGCCCAGGCCGCCACCACCGCCGCCGCCTGGCTCGGGGCCTCCCGGCAACGCCTTCGCGCTCTCCCATTGGCCGCGAGGGCCCTGCGGGAGGGCGGGACGGAACGCTGATTGGCGAAGAGCTCTTCCTCCCGGCACGCTTTGCCGCGAGGGCTGCTGGGAAGCGTAGTTTCTTCTCCCCGCGCCTCACGCGACGGGACGGCTGAAGGGGCAAAACGCGTTCTCCGCGCGGATTGGTCAGCGCGGGGGTAGCATGGCGGCGCCCGGGGCGACGCGTTGAGGCGAGGGAGGCCGCTGTGTTTCCCCTCCGCGCGCGGCTCCTCCTGGTTCTCCTCTGCTCTCCCCGCCGCGATGTGGCGCCGCTGCCTCCTGCAGGCCCTGGGTCGCCTCCCGGCTCTCGCAGCTCGGGGCCGCCCGCTGGGGCCGGGCGGGGGTCGAGCTTACGCCCCTCCCGCAGGTGAGGTGCGGCCCCCCGGGAGGGCTTCGGATCCCCGTCTGAGAGGGGGGAGCTCGGCGGGGGGGTCCTGAGGGCGTTTCGTGAGAGACCTCCCGTCAAGGTCACCTGAGGGTTGGGGGGGGTGTCGGGTTCCGGCCTTCAGAATGGGCTGGACAAAGTGAGAAGTGGTAAAATCCGCTCCAAATTGGGTACGGAGGCTGTGGGGCCTCGCTCTGAGCTGTTGCTTTTCCATTCGTGGATTTGAAGGTTTTCTTTGGTTGCAGATGGGATGGCAATGACCTCCTCCACCCCTTCCCAGGCGTGGCTCAGGCACGTGCTGGGCTGTGCGACCTCTCTACAGATCTTGCTGGAAACACGTGGATGGGAGGGTGGTAATCGTGTTTCACTGAAGTGTGGTGGAGCCATTGGGAGCCCACGGAGGGGCCTCTCAGGTGCCAGAATCCTCTCAGATCTGTGCTCCAGCAGTGTGGCATTTCCTAAGGCCCTGAAACTTTCAGGGGACCGAGAATGAGTGCGTCCCCTTCCCTCTCCTGCTAGGCCCATGTTGGTGGGGAGCAGTGAGCAGTGACAGTCAGTCAGGAGGTGGATTAAATGGGCTCAGCATTTATGAGCTGGTTGTAATTGTCATGGGAATCATGCAGACTCTTCCTGCCTTAAGTGGGTGAGATGAGTCCAGCAGCACTCCCTCCCTCGTAAACCAAGCTCTTGGGATTTTGCTGGCAGTGCTTGGAGTGGTGCTGGTATGAAAATAGGCTCCTTGGAAAGCAGAGCAGCAGTTCCCTGTGCTCACCGTGCTGGGGAGCAGGTGTGCACCTGAGCTGCTGGGTGGGATGTGTGGGCTGCGGTGAGCTGAGGGCAGTGGTTCCTCCCCAGTGACTCAGCTGCCACGTGCAACATGTCTGACACATGATCCTGCTGCTGTGCACAGGGTTCCTGGCTCCTGCAGGCGGTGTCTGCAAGAAACCTGCTCCTATGGGTGGTCAGGGTAGCTGGGGCACTGCTGTGGGTGTCATCAGTATTGTGACATCTGCCAGGTTGAATAGAGCTTACTAAAATGGAGAGGGGCTGGGGAGTGGATGAAGTGAGTGGATTTCGTGACGGTTGTGTGGGCTGCAGCAGCTCTGTGGGCTCCCTGTGTTCTGACCTGTGACTGGGAGAAGGGAAGGGGACCAAACCTCTTCTCACTGCCCTTTCAACTGCTCTGTTTTCAACCCCCAGAGAGGAAGCGGTTTTACCAGAATGTGAGCATCTCACAAGGAGAAGGTGAGTGCAGGTGAGGGCTGGTGCTCATGCAGGGAGTTTTCACCACAAGGCAGTGGCACGCCTGCAGTCCCTGTTGTGCAAGTGGGCTATTTGTCACCAGCATGCTTTGTCCTTTTGTCATTTGTAGTAAAACCACGTGGTGGGAAAGTTTCCAGCATCATTTGAGGGAAGGGCAATGTCAGAATGCTGATGATGGTTGGAAACTTGCTGATTCCATGCCCCTTTCAGCTCCAGCTCTCAGCTTGTTCCCTCTATGGGGTAGTCTGTTGTTCCTTAGTGCGTGCTCCTTTTTAATTCCCCAGGATTTCTACTCTGATTCCCCAGGAGGCTTTGAAATCAACCTGGACCACCGGAAGCTGAAAACACCCCAGGCCAAGCTCTTCACTGTCCCCAGTGAGGCCTTGGCCATTGCAGTGGCAACAGAATGGGACTCTCAGAAAGACACCATCAAGTTCTACACTATGCACCTGGTGAGCACAGCAGGTCAGAGTGTTGAAGCACAAAAATGGTCTCCAGAGGCAGAACACAGAGAGAGCAGGCTGTCCTAATGTCAGTTGAAGTGGGAACAGGAGTTCAGCACCTTGGCTGAGCACTCTGGACAACTTGAGGCTGTACAGGCAGCTGGGTTCTGGCTAGAGGACTGCGAAGGAAACTTGTGTCACTGGGGAGTTTGAGAAGGGGCTCGAGAGCATTTCTGGAGACAGCAAGGGGTATGAGGAAGCTGGATAAATCCTATTATATGAGCCATGGTCTGGCTCTACATTTCCCTCTTAAGTGAGCTTCTTGATTCTGGGAGTCTGTCCCAGATTCTTCTGCTTATGCTTGACCTCGTACAATGGAAGCTGCTGCTTCCTCAAGCCTTGGATACCAGTGATTTCAGCTGCCTTTATCCTGCAGACTACACTGTGCAACACAGCTCTGGACAATCCCACTCAGCGAAACAAAGTGCAGCTGATCCGTGCAGCTGTGAAGTTCCTGGAGACTGACACTCTCTGGTAAGAGACTGTGGGATGCACTGGCACAGAGGAGGGGTTGTCTTGTTGCTGAGTGGTTTTTTGGAAGAGAGGTTGAGGGAACTGAGGGAAAATGTCTGGTCTAACAAAGTCATTGCAGGGCCCTGGTCTGTCCTGGCTTTGGCCCTGGGGTTTGAATTAGTTTAGTCCAGTCCTATGTCCACAAATCTAGTGGAACTTCATGCATTTAAAGGGCATAGATATGAAGGAGAACAGAGATCTGCTCCTCTGTTGAAATTTGTTTTGGAGATGTCCATGTTGGGCAGGGGGCAGGAGCTGCAAGAAATGAGGATTTCCTTGGCAGAAAAGCTAAGAAAGGCTTGGGAGAATGTCATCCCAGTGCCCTGGCACTCCTGTACCATAAAGGCGTAGGGAGCTTAGATTACCTGTACTAGTAGCAAAATGGACTTTGCTCTTTAAAGCTCTTGTGGGTTGTAGAATCCAGCCTACCCAAGCTCATATCTCACAGTCCCAGCCTCTGAGGTGTCCACTAGCAACTGCTCTGCTCCTGAAGAGAAAGGGAAACACCTTGCCCTTTGTTTGTGACTTTATGGCGTTGGGCTGGCCTGGGTGGTGGCTGGTGAGTGCTGAGCCGAGCCACTGGGCATGTGAGGCAGCAGGAGGGGCCCTGGGGGATTTGTCCCATGCTCTCATCACTAAATCTTGCTGCATACTCTGGGCAGTTTCAGGTAATCTGCTGGCTTGTGTTGTACAGATTGTAGCTCTGTTATAGAGCTGCATAGAACTGTCCTTTCTAGAACAATAAAAAGCTCTGAATTTGGGGAAGAGAGGAGGGATTGTACCCAGTCACAGCTGCTGGCAGGCTGGACAAGAAGCCTATGCTCCCCATGCTGTGGTCTATGGAGGGCACAGACTTCCTTCCCAGGAGTGCTGTAGTCTGGCTGGGAGCAGTCTGACAGCTTGTGAGTGAACGCCCACGTGGCTTTGTTGTGCAATGTTCCAGCTATCGTGTGGAGGAGCCAGCTGCCTTGGCAGAGCTGCAGAAGAAAGAATGGGATCCCATTGTTGCCTGGGCTGAGAAAAGGTGAGAGGTTAAAGCTATTTCTGAAGGCCCATAGCTGTAGTGCTCGTGACTCAGAACTGCAAGATCCACGAGCTTTTCTAAAGGGCCATGTGATCGTGTCAGGTACAACGTGGCAATTGGATCCTCTACCAGCATCATGGGACCAAACATCCCAGCCAGCACCAGGGACACCTTCATCAGCCACCTGGCCTCCTACAACATGTGGGCTCTGCAAGGTGAGAGGCTGTGTGGGCTGCACAAGGGCAGGAGAGCTCCTCTCAATGAGAGAGAGGAGAGACTGTAATGTTTTTCCCTCCTGCTGATATGGCCAGAGGTGGTCTGAGCATTGAGGTCACTGCGGTGATGGTGTTCAGGAGAGCACTATTGTGCTGTTAATTGCACATCTGGCTGTTAGGAGCCCAGATGGGAGCGGGGAGGCATCACTGTGATCTGCCTGAGGGGGGACCACAGCTTGACTGTCCTTTCAGAGCATGGGAAGATGCTGCTGTAATGCTGCGGAAAACAACCATGAATGTTGTTTGTTTTGGATTTTTCCCTTCCAGGTATAGAATATGTAATCACCCAGCTGAAATCTCTGATTCTGTCCATGGGCCTGATTGACAGGCACATTACAGTAGAGAAAGCCGTGCTTCTGTCTCGGCTGGAGGAAGAATACCAGGTAAATTATGTTACAGAGCAACCCTATAATTCAAATAGCAATAATCTCAGCATGACAAATGCACCCCCCCTCCACAAATAACTGGCGGGGGAAGTGCCTGCTATTACCAGAGAGGTTCCACTCCACTAGTCTGGAGCACGCTGCTGTAGAGCAACATGATAGATGCAACAGCCCAGGGTGCTCTTGGGGCTGCCAGTTTCATTTTGCAGAACCCAGGTGGCTGCTTTTCTCCCTCTCTAATCTGAAGTGCAAAGCCATGGATGGCTTCTCTTACTGTGGGTTTTCCAGCCCGGAGGCCTTGCTAGACACCAAACTATTATTAAATTGTTTCCTGTGAGATCACAAGCTGGAATCTGGCCTGGTGTGAAGCTCTCCCTGACCCAAAACAGCTGAAGTTGATGAGAGTATTTTCATCCTCCCTTTAAGGGGTTTTGCTTCAGAGCTCAGTACAGAGGAAGCATGTCCTTCCACCACATTCATCCAGAGATCTCCCTACCCTAGTAGTGCGCAGTCAGCACAGCTCCTGGAGGGCTGTCTGTGTTTCCAAGACATGAGAAAGGAGGCTGAGTTGCCTAGCAGCTC